CTCGTCGTCAATAGTCTGTCTTCATGAAAGATTGTCTATTTTTCTAGGATCCCATATTAGTGAATTTTTCTCTCTTTGATTTCGTAACTGAATTCTTTTAGGAATGGCTAGAAACAGATACAATAATTTATGTACTAAAATAAAGATTGATTATTTAACCGCGATGTTATTATATAATAGAGCAGAAAACGGACGGCGTGGAGATTAAAACCGCGTGTCGTAATAACCAGCATTCAGCGATTGTATCTCGTAAACTAACCGTGGCCGCGGACTTCGCCCCATTATTTGGTTCCTTGCACCTTTAACAGTCGGCATTTAATTTTAATAGCCGATAGTATCGCGCGTTAATCGGCACGGGCATGCGCGAAATGCATTCTCAGCTGTGAACGTAAAAGTTAAATTATATGTTTGAAAAATTAGCAAGACAAATAAGCTCTTTCCTGTCCATTTTCTTTTTTTAAGAGTACACGCAGTTTCATTCTTTGCAATCCGAAAACACATCCAGAAGCAAAATTGCTCTATCGCGTTTCCTGGAAATATCAGTTTTTATAGATAAATAGAGCATTTTTGCTTGCGGCGTTTTAATATGAGGAACTCTATAAAAATCGCGTAGTGAAAATTGCAAAAAATATTTCTTGTTGTATTGTCAATACGCAAGAATTTATTCGTCCGCGCGTTATAATATCTCTCCTTTATTGTTTGCCAAATCGAAATGTAATACGTTTTAAAGGGTCTGAGAACACATTTAATAAACCGGTTTGTCATGTTCGATCATCCGTGGAAAACGAACGGCGGACACGATTTTAGGAAACGATTCTCAAATCGCCCGGACGATTCCATTCGCGAAGAAACGGATAGCGGGGCGTGCTTGAAATTCATGAACGGTGGAAAAACAACGCGAGGATGGCTCCGGGGGTCCTCGATACGGTTCCGGGACTACGTCGTCGCGCACCGGCATCAGATTTATTCAGTGGAAAAGTTGCGGAACGTCAGGTTGCCGGGGACTCGATTGATTGCACGTACACGAACGACGGCACACGGACGCGTGTACACGGGGCCGCGGCCACGAATTTCGCCAGATTCTCGCGAAACTTTTCAGCCGACTTCATTCTCCGTTCCGCGGCGGATGCACGCGCTACTCGAGACTGGATCTGCACGGGACTGCGACATCTTCGATATGTACTCGAGCCTGTCGATATTGGGCTTTCACGGATAGCTGGTACGCGGCTGATGCGCGTCTTCCTTAATATTTCTTCGCTCCTCCTTTCCTCCAGAATACCCTCTCGTGGAAAAATTGAAAACTGGAAGACGAAGTACAATCATACACCCACGCGTTATTAATTGTCATCCAGTTAACTAGTTTACGGACTGATATTTCGTTAAGAATTAAGTATAAAATATCTTATTCTACTTATCCATTGTGAAGACAAGCACAACTTCGTGTATAATATTCATATTTAATTTGACCCAAAAAGGAAGCCAGTCCTTTTTAGTCATCGCAGTTTCATTCACGATCAAATATTAATTGCAAGATGCGAAAAGATGGAATAAAAGTACGCCGTGTTCGAATATAGATATTCACGCGACATGTGCCATATCTTTCCCCGAACAAATGCTTGATCGGAGGAGCGTGAAATAAAGAGAAGAGAGAAAGCGATATGCGAGCAACGTTTTCCAGGGCGACGCGAAACAGAACGAAATGGACAAAACGTGGATTATTATTCCGTAGGACAGTGGGTTTTGACGCATACGGCGTGCTTATCGGCCAGGTTACGTGTTCGGTGGAATAAATAATTATCCCGCGCAACGGTTGATCTACGGCCTACGGGAAGTTCCTTTCTATGCGGCCTCGCGCCTACCCTTCACTTCGCACACAATACTTTCGGTGCCAGGTCGGCGTGGCGTGGTGCGGTGCCACCAAAAGGCCACACAATTGGCGTCGACGCCGCCTGAAAGGACTTGCCACTCTGAACCGAGGCGATTCGGGGGAAAAAGGAACTCGCTTTCTGCACGCCACTGTGCGGATTACGTATTGCCTCTCTGGCGAATTTCGTGATAATGATATAGCAGTTTGATGTGCAAAAATATGGGGGAGAGATAGCGGCGCGATGGGAAAAATTATGATGATTGATGGAAACGGGATTTAGGGATGAAGATGATTTTATGCTGAATACCATTTGGAAATAATGATTGGATCTTTTCTTAGATATCTTTTCACTGACATTTTTGTACGTTCCTTATTAATTCCAGAATTGTTGAGTTATATAATTCCTCGGCTCATTGCATTTCTTAAGGCACGCTATCACGTTGGACGAGTTATTCACGTTTGTGTTGCTGCAAAAACTTCAAGAGCAGTGATTTAGCTACCGATAACTCTCTGAATGCACTCGGTACTACATTAACTTGCATTTAAAATGCCATAAACTTAAAAGTACGCAATCTTGCGTCAATAATCGTTGGCGGTTTCAATTGTAATACAATTCTATGGTCGTGCAATTTGGTACGAAAACGGTGTGAAGCATATTATGGAAACGGATGAAATTTTTAATTAGATCCTCTCACGTCGAGGCTACGTGTTAGAGAAATATCGTTAAGAGCTCCAAGAAAGAAAGTATAATTTCTCGTTTGCCATAATCGAATAAGGGGAAATTAACAATGGGAGAAGCTTTGAAAAGAGATACAATTACTAGATGATGTTGCACCGTTCGAGCACAGGTGCATACTACTCATTGCTATGCAACTGTTTCAACTGCTGCACATTTGCATCTGCAAAACCAGTTTCTTCGAGCGATTAACGTTAAACAACACGGTCGATGTATATCGATACGTGACGCACGAGTTTTGACTTTGTAAATCTTGCTCCGTTGAGTCTCGTAAAAAATTACAGCACGAGAAACAGGAGCCATTCGCTGGGTTAGATTAAGCAGAAAATCGTCAGAACCGATAAACGTTCCTCTTTATCATGTTGTAAAAACGAAATCACGTTGGGGGAAGTTTGGACGGTCGTTTGACTTCAAACTATAAACGATGTACTTGTGTTTCAGCATGGTTCCTGGGATGGTTCATGTGTAAAGCCGTCGCTTATATACAGGGCGTTTCTGTGGCAGCCTCGGTCTACAGCCTCGTTGCGGTTTCCTTAGACAGGTACGTTATGCACGCTTAACTTTCGAACAATGATTTCGCTGACGATCGTAATGGAACACGCGGTGACAATAGTTGAAAGTCGCTGAATATAAAAAAGAAGTTATTGAACAAAATCGAGAAGTCATGGATCGACGCTCAACTGCCGCGGCGACCAATTATCTTTCCTCGCAATGATTTAATGATCGGTTTCGATTGTTCGTGACGTAGTTATCGAGCCGGTGCGGTGTGGGAATGAAATTGAATCGGATACGCGGCGGCGGCGGCGGCGTTACGTGAGTTGCGAAATCAAAAAGTCCGCTCACGACGCGTCATTAACGCATATTCTTCCCTGACACATTTATTTCTCATCTACATAGCGATGTGCCCAGCGTGTATGCAACGTTTATCGCTACGCGTTTGTCCCTGCGCGGCGCACTTTTACGCTGCTATGACATTCTAGCTTCTCGTAGCCGTTCGCATTAACATGATAATAAGAACTCGCGAACTGCCGAATAGGCACTTGCTATTTGCTGAGAAAATGAGACCTCGGACAGAGAATGTCCTAGTTATTAAACAAGGCGATTAAGAAAATCACTATGCTCTCCTGTTCTCAATTCATTTCCGCTTTAATAGACTTTTTTCTAACCTTTCTGCATAAAAAATGTAATAAGTATAATAAGGAAACGAAATGATCGACGAGACGCTCATCAGTAAAGGAAATAATCTTATTTAAATAATTTTAGTATATAACTTCTATATCCATTAGTCAATCTTTCTGTATCCTTATTAATCGACGTGCTATCTGTATTTTTCCAGAAATAAATTTATCACATAAGTAAATCTGCGATCTGCGAGGGGCATTCGTAATGAATCGACCTCGAGATCGAGATGGAATAATGATAATAGGAAATATCTGATTAACATTCATGTACAATCGGAATCTATACTTGTATCCGGTAGAATATTATTAAATTGCAAGCTACGACAGCCAGTTGCACTATTTGCAATATTATACAACTAACATGAAGCAAGTGCATATGTCGAACTAGATTTGCCAACCGCAGTCTGTATTTTATATAATTATTTCGAATTACGCTACCGATGGTATCCGCAATTGTTATAAGGGGGGGATAAAGACGTCGTTTAAATCGTGAGAAAAATTAATGTAGCGCCTTTAATCTGTATTGAAACACTAATTAATAGGAATATCTCTCTTAAATAAAATCCGACGCGACACTTGCCGCGGTCTTTCTGCCGCTTTTCCACGGTCTGAATGGCCTGTTGCCAACTCCGGGGGAAACAGACAAAAGGCACGGCCGACATCTCGCGAATGGAATTCTTTTTTCAAACGGCCGGTTCCTCCCCCGCGCTCTCTGCATCTCGAAACGAAACGTTTGGCATCGTTTATCCCGAAATTCTGGCATCGTTCGTGAACCCCGGCCGACGTCGTCGAAATTGTCCCTTTGAAAACGCGACGATACGCAAACGAGATTTTCCCAACGGGAAAAAAAGTTCGAAAGTGCGTCCAAGCGTTCCGAATTGGCCGGGCCAATACTGCTCGACTTACAACGATGATAAACGTTCTTCAATCAGTTTTGTTTATTATAAGGAATTATCGGAAGATCGATCGATGGGTGCAATTTAATAAGTACGTTTCGAACTGTGGAAGGGTGTAAGTATATAAAATTCCGCAGTCTGGCGATGCAATTTCAGAAGTGAATAGCGGAGCTAATAGCGGAGACGAATGGTAGGGGGCTAAATCTGTCGTCGGATAAATTGCGCAAAAGGAAATATCCATGGTATTTTCACGAGGAACGTCAGTTATCAGGGATGAAATAACTCGAGAGCCGAGGAGGCAACTGAATATGGACGATAAATGATTTTCTATCAATTTCACGTTAGACGAACCGGCTGGCGCCGTAAAATAGTTTTACACGATCCTCAAGAAAAGGGGTTCGATCTCGGCGAAATTGCCTGGCGATAGGAATACGATGGGTGACTCGGGATTGTCTTAGCCTTCGATCAACCCTCGACCTGCGATGCATTACTCTCTCTCGCTCGCCTGCTCTATCCACCTCCTCTCTTTGTTCCTCTTCGAACCCTCCTTTTTATTTTCGCTCGTTTCTCGCCGGTTTTCCCGCCTGCGCAGCGGAACTGCCAACCACGGAAGTACATACATCTTCCTGTTCTGTTCTCGCCCGTACACCGTAAGCAAAAGTCGCAGTTGACCTATCGACCTACGTAAATCCACTAAAGCGTCACGGATTTCCTTCTTCCGCGCTGACAAATCCGCTTCCACGGCGAATTCGAAACGGTGAACAGAGGCTGAAATTGATTTTGAGGGACTCTCCTTTTGAAAGGACTCCCGAGGACGACTTGTTCCTCCCCAAAGTCAAAGTTATGGATGTCTTTCTACGAGAACGGTTTTAAAAGATTCTTCCAAGAGGACACGCGACAGTAAAAGGGATGGTGTATCCGTGGATTTTCTGAAAGTCTCAGAACGCGAATCCATGACAAGATGTATTTCCTTCAATGAATTTTCATTTTTAACAGACAAATCGTTTCTGCAATCTTACTTAATACGATGATCGATGATTGCAACAGCAAGAAACTTGATCATTTGTTACCTGAATCCCCGCGCACTTATATAATTCTAATTCATGCGGATAATCGTGTATCCGCCGCTGCGTATTTCCGAGATTTGATACTGATAACCGACCATTTCGCCGCCGCTCTACATTTCGTGCCCATCGAACGCAGACTTCCGTCAGGTTGACACACAATACCCGGCACACTTGCTGCACGACTCTCGAGACTCCGAACCTAATGCGGCGTAAAGACAATGAATAATCCGGCCTGAATTACCCGCGGTTACACGACTACGTGATAGCGGTTTGATAATTCTCAACCACTCGTCTCGTAACCAACGATAACACCGCTTGACACGGTTGTCATTTTTAGGGTGACAGGACAACGAACCGAAACGATCATTACTTACAGCATAAATTCGTTTAATAAGTTTCAATTAGGTTTTAATTGCTGCAAATTCTGTTTACTCGGAAATAGATCGATCCGCCGGTTGAAATGCTTGATTAAAACAGCGTCGACGATAGTCCAACGGCACGATATATAAAACCGTGTATTTAGCAATCGAGAGAAAAACGGAAATTGGAACGTATCCTCGAATACGACGCGTTTCGATAGGGAATACTTTCCTTTAACCGGTTAGACCTTGTGTCAGGCAATGTGCTCCATGAACGGAGGTAGATTAGGTTTTGCATTATGTTGCGAATTATGTGACTCCATGGTTTTAAGTGACCGTGAATGATCCGTTTCTTCGTCATGCTTTCTGGGGTGATTAAGCAATTTCTAACTAGGCGTGAGATATTTTCTCACCGCAGAAGAGTGAACGTTTCCTTTGCCGTAACCAAATTGTTATTATCTTCTAAGAAAGCGATGAGCACTCTTTATTAATCGATTAACCCTCCTCGGAGGGTCCCAAACGTCCTCATCCACGAAATCGAATTATCGATTTCACTTGGACATCCATCGATCCCAACGGATCTGGTTTCGCCCAACGATTCCTTCCACTATTTGCGAAATCTGAATCACCGATAAATAGTTCTAAAGCTATACTCCGGCGCATGCATAAAACTTAATCTTAAGCCATTCCCACGAGTCGACCCCGAAGAATCTGGAAGGATTCCTAGCCGATCGTCAAGGAGACGCTTCGCTCCTCCTACGCGACTAGCCGACGGAGCCTTGATCGCGATTTTTTCTCTCCGAATTTTTTTTTCTTTACGAAATGAGTTTCTATCTGGAACGCGCGCATTTGCTCGCTCGTCTGCACTTACCCCGACCCTTGGATGTGTAGGTGACCCACACACGCATATTGTTTACGCAGGCGATCGTTTTGCGTTTCCACACGCGGAGTTTCTTAACCCAGTTCCCCGTGGCCGGCAGGGGTTGAAAACCCGCGATTGGCCACCGTGTCGTCGTTTAGAGCAGAAATCCACGGTTGATTGGCCGAACGGCACCCCACCTCGATTCACAGATCGGCTGATTCAATAGGCCTCGGTATAACGTCAGACGGTCGAACGGCGGGCCACGTGATCAAATTTACAGCGATTTTTTAAAATAGACTTTTGTATAAAAGGACCGTCGACCAGTGCATCCAGCATAAGCTTAGTTACTTGCAAGAAGTAAACCAGCAACCCACAACCCAATCAACATGTTCAAGTTGGTAAGAAGAATATTTATTATTATTTATACGTTCTTACGCCGGTACGTTCAATCGTTTCGTTCTATACCTCTACGATTTTAATACAGACGGACGGGTTGTTACGTGGACAGATAAGACAGTCGTGCAAGTGTCCTAAAATAAAAGTAACATTCGAAGCCTGCTTTGTTTGAATAAGCCTCTAGCTTTCTTCTACCCTTTTGTTCGGTCTACGTGCCAATAATACAATTCAAGTATAGTGAACGTTCCAATTTCTGTTCATATCACTAATAATACTCACTGTTTTTTTGTTTTTTTTTCTATCATTTTATGTGCAATTTCAAGCGAGTGAGTAGGAATCTGCAACATGAACAGAATTTGGGGCACTTACTATATTTATTACACTTGACTAATTTAGAAATCAGTGAAAACCCGGTTTTCCAATACGTAATGTAATTTGCGTGGCCTTTTGCGTCAGCCGTTCCAACGAGCTTATAGCTCCTTCTAATCATTTTCTCCTTTCTACATCAGATTTCTTTCTCCTGGTAGTAATACAATATAAGTATTTATTTAACATTACATAGAACACGTTATCAATAATAGAGACGTTCTTTGAAAATAGTTTTTTTTAAAAAATGATGTTTGCAACTGCAGTACAAACGAGCTTATAGTTCCTTCTAATCCTTTGATTATTTCTCTCATGTACTTAGTATTCTAGCATGCTTGCCTATAATAAAATCATTATAATTCCAGTAGAGTGACATACGATTCCACTAAGGTCATTCCAGATTTTTAGAAACATTGAATTAGTTTAAAAATTTTAGATAAACATTGAAACTTGTATATCCACCTTTTGATATTCAGATTTAAATGTTACTTGCAACATTCACAAATTCTGTAAATTCAATTTTATAATTGCATAATCTGTTCGTATATCTAATATTTCCCACTGAAAATCATTTCCACCCTCCTCGGGACATACCAACCATTGTTTTTGTTCTCCCTTCGAAGACGGGATTTGTCATTCATGAATCAGCGAACGCGATTCCAATTTGCATATTAGCCACGTTCGGATCGGCGACCGCGTAAACAATCGGATCGTAACGCTTTGAAGAAAATTCCTCCGTTCACTTCGCTCCACGTCTTCTCCGATCGATAAAAATCGTGCGGTGGCACCTACGTAGCACGGCGTGCCGCGCCGCGCCGTGACCTTTCCGTGTGTAGCACAACGTGGCACGTTCACTTGAACGGACGGCACGGCGAGCGGCGGTGTTTCCGTCCGGCCGCAAAAATCTCCGCGAGCGAACGCAAACCACTGGAGCATGCACATTGTTAGCCAACTGGTCGAACGCGGTGAGGGATAATGTGGAATGCGAACTCGCGCCGCGGACGCCTCGCTCCCTTTTTCATAATCTCGCGTGAGCTCTGTTCGCCGGTCGCGTGCTGTGCTCGTATCCACGACACTTGATAATGCGATTGTACTGACAGGACGGTTTCCCATGCTCTTTCCTAAAGTAACGCGGCACTGCAAATCCGCCTACAACGATATACTTCTAATAACTTCAGGCTACGGTTCGTAATGAGGGGTTCAAACAACTTCACGTCTCGTGAATCATTCTAAGGGAATTATTCGCGAACGTACGGGCGTCGAGCTATCCGCCACTTAATAGAAACGAGTCCCGTCCTTCCTTTATTCATATTTCATCATATTAAACGGTCCAAGGACCGTCGTAAGCAAATAGCCGCGTCGGATCTAGACTAACACGATCAAAGCGTTCGCTTCGTTTCCACTAGTAAGACCGTAATCGCCGGAAGATTAACGTTCTCGTGGGAAAATCGCGCGGCCCGGCATTGTCTGCCCTGAACGACAGGACCAAAGACGATGAGATACGACGGTACGACTACACGCTACGACGATTATGTACAAAGAAGATAAGAACCGAGGGGATAGGGTGGGATGGGGATCGAAGACGGGGCGGAATCGACGGGGATGGAGAGGTTAAAAGAGGGTGTGAGAGCCAAGAATTGCACGTGACGTTTTCCCACAGGCTGTTCTCTGCGCCATCCTGGCCGTCGCCGTCGCCGCTCCCGGTGGTCTCACCGGCATCGTTCTCGACCATGGAGTCGGCCCAATCACCGCTCCGTTGGTGGTTGCCCACGCTGCCCCAGCTCCAGCTCACGTGATCGCTCAACCCGTTGCACCCGCCATTCACAGCGCTCCCATCGTCACCAAAACCTACCTGACGCATGCCGCCCTCCCCGTCCTCTCCGCGCATGGTTTGCATTAAACGACAGCTGACTTTATCCTTTACTACCCGCGTCACGACGAGACCAACCCCCTCCCCCCTTAGAAAACACGCATACACAAAGACACATCCTCCCCTCTAATTCGTTCCCACGAAAAAAAAAGCGGTATAAGAATGACGAAATTGAAGAAAAACGAAGGAAAGGAAAGACCATAGCTCGAGGATGGAACGGAAAGCACAGCCAGGATCGATGGAGACAAGAGATGGTCATTCACTCGTGGCCGACTCCAGGTACGGAGACGAGACGTCCGTCGACTTTTCGGAACCACCTGGCATTGTCCCCGGCGCAGGTCTGACGGCCGGCGTCCGAACCGACACCAGCTAGTCTCTTTCCTTTTCGGCGATTCCCCATTCGCGGCTGAGATCATCGTTGCAATTCGGATATTCGCATCTCAATCATTTGCACCATCATTCCGGCCACCTTCCCCTTCGGTCATATGAAAGTTGAATAAAATTTTATTTAAAAAAAAAAGATGAACGGTCTTCTTTATTCTCCTTTGAACAGTTTTATAGTTGTTTCATACTGAAAGCAGCTTCAGTATGAGCTGTGTACGAATTCGTCAGCAGAGGAGCAGAGTAATGCCGCAAGTAAATCTCGTCGAAAACGTTCGTCGAGCGTTCACCCTCGATAGCGCATCCGGCGATAAAGCAATACACGTGTAACGATGTCCCTTATTCCCGTTAGATACGCGCGAACACACGGACGCTGCTGATACAAGCGTATAAACGAGGCTACTCGATCGTAGGCGCGTCTGTTCTCGCATCAATCTGCCCTTCGAGCATCCACCCTCCGTTTTACGACCACCCCCGACCCATCTTTTCGTGGAGCCAACCCAGTAAACTTCGTCAGTTCCGACGAGACTGTCTCCCGTCCGTCTCCATTCTCTCCGCAGGCGAATCCGAGCGATTGTTTGCCAACCGCGGATTTTACAACCGACGTAAAACAGACCGCGTGTTTGTAAATTACCGGCGAAGGGAAATGTGAGATCCGTCGCGTTACGTATTTTGTCAAAGTTGATTTATTTAAGTATCGTACAAAATAATTTGCCTTGCGCCATCGGAGATACCCAAGTGAAGCCGGTGAATCATCCTGTGAAGCATCCTAAATTCACCCGTAAAGGTAGACGGACCCAGGGTGGTACCAGCTGTAGCTGTGACCGTAGGAC